CGACAAGGCACAGGTGCTTCCCATGTAGCAGCCAGGAACTCCCCCGACACCTAGACACCTTGCCGTCTCTTTTTGGCCCTTTAGGAGGTACCACTTGTCCTGTGGGACCAGGAATTCTTATAATTGTGGCAGCGTACGCTGCTCTGCCCCATCAGCAGCTCCCGGGGAGGACCCGCACCCGCGGCCCTGGGGTCCCACCACTGTCAGCACCGAGCACCCCTGCGGAGGACAATAAAAGCATCCCTTGGGACACAGCCCTTGTAAGGCACCAAGAGGAAAGCTAACCCAGGGCATGGCGCTGACAGATGCCTGGTGGTCCTGGTTCACTGTGCCACCTGCTCTGCAGAAAAGTTGATAATTTCTGGTGAGCGGCTATAAATCAGAGGCTGCCACCTGACATGACATATAGCTCTATCGTTATGGCAACCATAGAAACAAATAAAAGCCTTGCCTTCGCTTGACGAGCCTTTGAGATGTCCTGATGGAGAGACAAGTGTTCAGCGGCAGAATGAATTCTCTTGAACTCGCTGTCGATTCATCTTCGTTTTGCTCCCAAGTGAGCCCCTTTGCTCTCTGAGTTCTTTGCCAAAGTACAATCAACTGGATTTTTTTTATTTTGTTTTTTGTTCGTTATTTTATTTTCAGTTCTCTCAATGGCAGAGAGCTCTGCTCCCCAGCTCTGCGCCCACATCCATCTCCCATCTCATGTCGAGGACGGGAGCTGGGTCCCTGCCTGTGACTTTCCCTGGCTCAGCCGTGCTGTGAGCTTGTGACATCGCTGCTGCCCCAGCCTTGCAGGGCTTTTGCAGTGATTTGGGCACTTGTGATTTTGCAAGTTAGCACCGAGCGCTGCGGTGTGAGGCTCGCTGAGAGCGGAGAAGGAGGAAAAGTGAAGTGGATGAGAAAGGCAAAGGGAACCTGGGCCAGGAGAGGGGAAACAGCTTTGCTGTGGCCACGCTGTCACAGCAGCAGCAGAGCTCATCTTCCCTGTGCTTTAGCGTTGTGCCTCGTCTGCAGGAGCGCAGGAAAATGGGTGCTGCTGCAGGCAGACACCACTGAGGCTCAGGAGGTGGGCTGGGCTGGTGCCCGTGGGCAGTGTGCTGGTGGAGTATGGGCGGGAGCAGGCAGAGAGCACCCTGCCAGCTCTTCTTGCCATTTGGTGCAGGAGATGCCATGGGAACTCGGTCTTTTTTTCCCCCTTTTGTGTCTCCTGCAACAGAGCGGGCTGTGATTTCTGGATGCTCGGTGCTGGAGGGACTCTCAGCCAGGAGGTCAGGGGAGAGGGGAAATGCCGTTTTCAGGCTGTTCATCAGCAGGGACCCCGAGGAGCTGCCTGCAGGGACTCTTGCTCCATTGGTGCCAATAAAGTGGCCATGAGCGGCTGTCAGCAGGTACCCATGATGAATGGATGGCTTCACGTGATGGAGCAAATTGATCATTGCATCACCAGGCACAACTTGTTTCTGCAAAGAGGACAATTCATCACCGTGCACGTCACAGGGACACCGTCAGCCCCCAAATAACATCCCCAGCGCTCTGGCCTGGGCCTCTTATCACCCCAACATGCCGTCGTTTCGCAAAGGCGGTGGAGAAGCAGCTCACAGTGC